TGTTGCTGTTATTGCTGCTGCTGTTGTTGCTGCTACTGTTGTTGCTGCTACTGTTGTTGTTGCTGCTGTTGTTGCAGTTATCGTTACTGCTGATATAAAATGAATTTATAATTATAAGGAATGTTGTACTTGGCAGTCAGAGGTAAGTACTGGGCTATTTTATTTGAATGCTCCGCCAGAATTTGGGTAGGGGTGTTCCACTGGGATTCTGAAATGGGTTCCCTGTTTATGACAAAAAAAATCAAAATTGTAGGTCCCTGTTTATGACAAAAGATATAATTTACTGCACTAAATTCCTGTTTCAATTGTCATGTCATCTCACGTATCATTTTTTTACAATCATAATAACCAGTTTCGGTCAATACGAAACTCGGGACGAATTTTGAAATTGAGTGAAATTGCATACCCTGTTTATGACAAGAAGCTCGAAAAACCATACCCTGTTCAGCGGATCATCCCCGTATAGTACATATATGGGAGTACCCCCTTCCCCCGGGTGCCATACTTGATTCCCTAAACCTAGCTTCATTCCCTGTACCTATTTTAGATCTGCTGCTGTGTGGGCCATGTTTTTAAAACAAAGACTATCACTACCACTGTAAGCTCAAACCTGGAGTTAAACATTCTGAACTGATCAAGGGCAGATCCAGCTAAAAGTTTAGGGGGGCTAATTGAGTTTCTTTCATCAACACAACAAAACAATATAAAAAGCACCTTTTTTTCTGCTGAAGGGGGGGCTTCAGCCCCCCTTTGCCCCCCCCCCCCCCCCCCCCCCCCCCCCCCCCCCCTCCCCTGGATCCGCCCTTGCTGATTGGGATTCAAACCCATGTCCTTTTGTTTTCTAGGCTCAGATATCAGCCCTTTGTGTTTTAATTCAAACTCCATATTCTTACTTATTTTATAGAAAGATTACATTGTTTTATTTTAGGTACACCTTGCAGCTGGATCTTTATGTAGGAGACACATACATTTTGATATAAAATGAATAAAAAACTTTCAAAATTACTTCTGTCTATAATCTTGTATAATTTAATTTCCACAATCTTGGTTTTCAAATTATATAGGGAAAATGGAATGGGAGGATAATTCTTCCTTTATATAATGAAAAAGTGTATTGAAATCCCTACATGTGTCATAAACAGGGCCGTGACTAGGGGGGAGCACAGGGTGCACGTGCACCCCCCCCCCCCCATAAAAGCTTAAGGTCTGCTCATCCATCTC